ATCTCAGAACTAGAGTTGCCAAACCTGCCTTCACCATGTTGCCTTGATATCAGACTTCCAACTCCCAGAAATGTGAGCCAGTAACTTTCTGTTCATGATGAATTACCCAGTCTGTGGTGTTTGGTTACAGCTACACAAAAGACTATGAAGTTTGCTTAGAGCTTCTTTATTTTTCCTTTTGAAATAATGTTGTTTATGCTTATCCGGTGCAGTGTTCCACTGAGAGCAGTGTAGCACAGAAATTATGAGTATGTGATAGACGAGGTTGGATTGAGGCCAGGCTGCTCTCTGCTTGTGTCATATCCTGGGGAAGTCACTTGATCTTTTGGCAGTTTTCTCGTCTATAAGGTGAATGTACCTACCTCATAGAATTGTAGTGAGAGTGAGATAAGGCCTATAAATCCCAGGCCTTGGAGCAGAACACTATCATAATCATGAGGTAGAGAGGAGGAGAGCTGCCAGAAGCAGACACTGTGACAACTGTAAGACATGACTATTTTTAGCCAGATAGTGAGAAGTCACCATCTGTTTAGGAATCTGTTCTAGAATTTTCTTAGTACCTATGTTCAGTAGTCTTAATTTTTAAAATTCATCTTGTAGTCCATTCTGAAGATAAGAGGCATTAGCCAGTCTCTCTGAAATCCCTGCTTCACAAATCTTTGTGGTTTCTAGTCACCCTTTACAGTTACCCATCAGTCCATTACTTCTGGTTGTAATTTGCAGTTGACCCCAAAACTGGCACTAAAGTAGCAGTGTGAGATCTAATTCTCTCATCTACTCCTCACTTCTTACATTCTTCTTTGATATGTTTCATTGATCTTCTTTTTAATTTTTTCAAAATCAAGAAACATATTCATATAATTAAAATTCTCAAAGTAGAAAGGGGTAGGCAATAAATATTTAAAGATTTAAAATTTCTGAATTTAATTGAACTTATAACATCACACTTCCAAGAAAAATGAACCTTTTGCATAAGAAATTTGAATAAAATCATACCAAGATACATAAAAATGAAATTTTCCAAAACTTATTGTAAAGAAAAAGTCATTAAAGCATATACATAGAAAATATTAACTATGGAAGAACCAAATTAAATAGCATCTTATTCCACATTAGAAAGAAAGAAAAAAAAAGGCCAAGTATGTAAGAAGCTAGATAAGGGACTGAAAGAAAGAAAAAAAAATCTGTCCTCTCTGAATTATATACTTAGCAAACATACCTTTGAAAACTAAGAGTAAAATATTTTCCAGTTATACAAACTTGAAATATTCTAATACCTCCAGATGTAGCATACAGGAAATTACAAAGAGCATAATTCAAGAAGTTGCAGTATGTTCCTGGATGAACAATAAAGAGCTCTCAAAATGATAGTTATGCAGGATTATATAGAATATATTAGATGAACCCTTATTTAAAAGTCATTAAAGATTTCTATGAAACAGTACCAATCTTATGTCGGGTTATACATGGATTTTTTCATATATGTGTATGGGTGGATAAAAGACAGAGAAGTAATATAAAGTCAACAGAAAATGGAAATATAGGGCTGGCGAGATGGCTCAGTGGTCTAAAGCACCTACTTGGAACAAGCTTGGCTAAAGCACAGGGACCACGGTTCGATCCCCCAGCACCACATGCCAGCCAGCCTCGCCCCGTGGTGGGCTGAGCTGGCCACACACACACACACACACACACACACACAATAAATAAATAAAAAAAAATAAAAAATAAAATAAAATAAAAAGAAAATGGAAATATACTTTTTAAAGTTTCTAATACTAGGAGAAAATATCATACCATGTCTTTTAAATAAATTGTAAGTCAAAGATACAGTATAAATCTTAAAAATTAAGATTAAGCAGTATTCAGAAAATTAAATACTAATTAAAAATTAAATGTTTCAAAACAATTGAACTAAGAAAAGTTTTCATGATAGTAAAGAATCACTAAGAATAAAACATAAGATAAATACTGGAATGGCAAATAAATGATCAGCACTTCTAACAGTTTGGGGATAGGTTGTCGCACAAAGTTCTAGTGTGTTGTGAACATGGATAATGCCCATGACACTTACTAGTAGCCAGGTGTCATTTGTGGGACTGAGCTACTGCTATTTCCTTGAAATCCACCCTGTAGATCCAGATGGAATCATGACCCATAGGGTGCAGGAGAAGTCCATTTGTTGAGTGTGCTGATGGAAATATTTTGCTGCTGTACATAAAAGAATAGCTGAAAGACTACTTTTGTATACTTCTTATGCTCCTGTGTTTAATTGTTTGCCCTATTTGGTGGGTTCTTTCCATTCTCATTCATGGGGTTGTGATCATTTTGCTTCCTCTCTTGAACATCATTTAGTAGTCTGTGTAGGCTTGGCTTTGTCATCATGAAATTCTTAAGTTATTCTTCGTCATGGAAGTGTTTCACGTCTCCATTATACTTGAAAGAGAGTTTTGCAGGGTGTATCAGTCTGGGTTGGAATTTGTTTACTTGCAAGACTTGCAAGAGTTTGCTCCATGCTCTTCTTGATTTGATGGTTTGTGAAGGGAAATCTGCTGTTATTCTGATGGGTTTTCCTTTAAATGTGATCTGTTTCTTAGCTTTTAGTATACTGTTCCTGTATTGAATTTCTGGGATCTTGATTATTATATGTCTGGGTGTGGCTTTAATTGGGTTGATGTTATTTGGAGTTCTTTATGCTTCAGTTAACTGAATGTCAGATTGTTTCTCCATATTTGGGAAGTTTGCTGCTATTAATTCTGCCCATTTTTTTATATCATTTGTATTGACTCCTTCTCATTGATGCCTATTAGTCTCACATTGTTCGTCTTTGCATTGACTTGCAGGTATTGAATTATTTTTTCCTGCATTCTAGTTGTTTTTAAGATATCTTTTCTTACTTTTTCACTAGCTGCAATGGTGTCTTTAAGGTCTGAAAGTCTTATTTTCACTTTTATTCAAACGGTTTTGACATCTTGTGATTGAGGTTTTAATTTCCTGTATATCACTTTGGGTCTGCTTCATGCATTCTATTTCTTTCCTATATTGCTCATTCAAGGATTCCATCATTTTTATATTCTGCTCTATTTTTTTAATCAATGTCTTCTTTGAAGCACTTAGTACTTCTATGATTAGAGTTACCTTTTTTTACTTCAGAAATTATTTCTGATCTGATTTCCTCTAGACCTTTCTGCAGCTGTTTCTTTACTTCCAGTGCTATTATTTTAGAGATTTCAGGTATGTGATTTCCAATTTCATCTATGCTAGTGTCTTCTGCATTTGTTCTGGGTTGACCCAGGGCCTGAGACTGAATTTTGTTCCTTCTCTTTGTCATTTTGTATGCCACTGTCTTCTGACCTTTGGTGTTGAGTTTAGATAGAGTTATTACCTTAGCACCATGTCCAGATCTCCGAAGTTCAGACTCCTCCAGGTGGGTGTGGCTGGGGTCTGGCTGCTGTGCTTCACTTCTTCCTGGTACAGCCCTTGGAGGTGAACCCTCTGTGCCACTCTGGCAAGATGTTGTACTCCTGAATCAGCTGGGTGGGTCTTGCCTCTAGCCTCTTTGCAGGGCGTTCTGCTGAGGGGTTCCACACCGGCCCTGGGCTCTGGGTTGAATCAGGATCTGGTGGGCCTGGGCGGTCTCACTCACACCTCATTGATCTTTTTTCAGTGTTATGTTAACTTCATTAAACAGAAAACCTGAAGTTGAGTAATTCAGACTTTCAGCTTTGAACAGTATTCTCTTTTTAACTTATTAGTCTTTCTTTGAGTACTTCAAATAATTTTTCTCTAGAAAAACCTTATTTTTGCTACGTTTAGTGTATTACACAAACTTTTAAGCTTCTCAACAGTTTTCCAGCAAGTAGAGTATTAAATTTTATTGTGAGTTATATATTGTGTTCATCTTAAACGTGTCTGTCTTTTTAGAAGTTAAGATTATTTGAGAACTGACTCCATGTAGCTGCATAGATTTTTCTAGTTAAAATCACACATCATTCCCCTTCAGTCATATTTTAATAGTCTCTGGCTATGAAATCATAGACCGACTTTCTTATTGCCCACAGTAGGTACTTTATCATACCCAAGGTTGCTTCATTTCCTAATCAGATCCAAGAACTCCTAATTGTTAGGGTTCTCTTCTGCCTGATCAAGAAGTTCTGTAACTTCTAGTTGGAATTAAGTTGAACGGCAGCTTTCTCTCTGCTTTTTCACTTTCTAAGTGACTTAATGGTTGTATATGCTAATGAAAAATCCATCAGTTCTCTCTCTTATATGCTTGAAAGTGGTAGCACCAAAAAGCTAGTAACACTACAGATATTTTCTCTTAGAAAGTTTTTCAGTGAGTTGCAGTCAGCATTGTGAAATGAAAGAGAAAGTAATAAAATATATCAGAAAGATAGCTGAGTGCCCTGTAATGTAGTATAAAGAATTAAAACATTCATTTCAGCTTTATACATTACATTGTGTGCTCTTGCATTGTAGAAAAAAAACTTTTTATGGTGTAGGTCATTAACTAAAAACTTTGAAAGCAACCATTTTAAATAATAATGAATGGGGGCCGGGGAGATGGCTCAGTGGAATATGCACTTCCCTGGCAAGCGCGAGGGCCTGAGTTCAATCCCCGGTTCCGAAAAAAAAAAATGAATGATTTATATTGCCATAATAAAATTATAGAATGTAATTTTAGACTATGTTTAATATACATGCATATGCACATATAGTATATAATATTGTAGTATAAAATATTGAACTTTATTTTGTTCATTTATACTATTCATTGATAGAGATTACCTTGGCAATTTGCAAATGTACTGTGACTAAAAATGTATGATAATTTATTTTTAGGTGCCTTTTAAGAAACACGATCTTTCTGAAAAGATATATATTCCTAGATTTCAAATATCCAATAACTTACTGAGTTGAAGTACTGTACCTTGGTAGGCATCAAGCAACACATGAAAATGTCCAATAATTTCAAATTTGCATTTCCAATTGTTTTATAGTGTGACTGGTGGTCACATAGTACAGCGCCAGCACATCCCTTCCAACCACGTTATGATACTCAGAGCACCCAGAGAAGTGACTTCCGAAAACCAACATGTCCTTTGGTTTTGCCAGTCAAACACAGCCGACTGCAGAAGCCTTCCTGTGGAATAGGTAAGGTTAGGAGAAGTAAACCTCATTTTCATTATCTCAGTATACCATTATCAAATTAAGATGTATTAGATGAGATGATGCCTCCTGAGAAAATTACCTCTCTGTAGGAGTTAGAAACATGGCAAGCACAGCCTGTGACAAATCTATTATCCCTTCCCAGTGGGCATCTTATCCCCAAACATGCTTAATGGTACATAATGAAAGCTATACTGATGACATCAGGCTCTAGGTCACAAACTTAGTAGCATTTTTCTTATTGTTGCCACCAAATTTTTTAAATTATCAAGTTTTTAAAATGGTAGGTAACAGTAACTGGCAGCACTTCTCAGCGTGCACTCTGAGGAACAGTAGTTTTGTGACAGTAATGTTCAAAGGAAGTGGCCAGTAACCTTTTCAAACTTAAATTTGAAAACTTAAACATTTTTTTAAAAAAGATCAACTTTCAACACATTTTTCTAAGCATAAATGTGATGAATTACCAAGAGACAGAATAAAAGCGTGGTATTTTCCCCACTTACTGATCACCTTGCCCTCATTAAAATCATTTTACATGACTAGTGCCCCACAAAGCCTAATTTTGGAAACACCATTACACAGAGTATTACATAAAATATTTTTGTATTTAAAATTTTTTCACCTGACAGTGTCATTATAGTGTCACATCCAATGTGTCATATCTGGTTCTTAGACTATATCCAGTCATCTCTACCTCTCAAATTTGTTAGCAAGTTTAATAAGTCCAGGGGGTCACGTCAGAGTGAAAGTGCATGCACTGAGTGCCTGCTCTAGCCTGCATCCCGCACCAGAATCCGTAAGTACACCTCAGACAAGCCATGCAATAACATGACAGCTGTCGACAAAAGATTCTGAGGTGTGATCAAGTTGTATATTTAAATAAACAATTACAGTAAAAGACATGGTCATTAGCCCCCCTCAGAATATCCCCCCTCACCTCAAATACAACTGTCCCATCATTCTTTCTGAAGTTCTGGAAGTCTTCATGTATTTATGATGAGTAACTGACAATTAAGTGAATGCTACTGCCAAGTGCCAACCCACAGAGTTTTATAAAAATATTGTAGTGTGTCCTCCTCCATCCTATCTGCCAGATCTAGCACTGTGAAACTTCGGGGTCTTCCTCGAAGTCAAAATGACCATCAAATGTCAATATTTTGAATGGATTCAGAATATTGAGGCAGTCACAATAGCACAACTGAAGATACAAAAGAGGGCTTCTAAGCTGCTTTACAAAGTAGCAAGAAAGGGAGTTTGAAACAAGAGGATTTAGTGGTAATGTATCTTTTACCACCCTAAAAATTTTAAGTGAAATATTCACCATGTTTTTTACTCACACACATGCTTCTAGAGATGGAGAGTTTCTCACTTAATCGTAACCTTCTGACCTCTGATTTGATCAGCCCAGTGGAGGATGCATAAGGCAGCTTACACTGAAGGTCAGTACACTAGAAAATGGTCTTAGCTGTTTTCTACCTCAAAGGAGGTAGCTAATGAAGCAGGCTGTTAGACAGTCCTGAACAGTGACCATTCCTTTAGAAAGATAACAAAGTTTAAGGCACTAGGATAGTAGACGGTACAAACATCTAATTTTGTCACTTCCCATGACTCTTATTAAATGGTAGCAAAACAATAAACTGTTAAGGTGAAGATGGTGGAAGGAAGAACTTTCTAGAATATGGGAAACAGTGGCAGCCTATGGATAAGCAAAAGAGCTGGGTGTAGTAGTGCATACCCATAATGCTTGGGAGGCACAGACAGGAGGGTCATGAGCCTGGACAACATGATGAGATCCTGTCCAAAACATAAAGATCAAAATGTAATACCCAAATAAATAAAGAAGAAGAAAGGAAATAAAGTTATAATTCTACCCAAAAAAAAAAAAAAATGTAATACCCAGGACAGCTGACCTGCTTGATGGAGTCCTGATAGGCTTGGTTATCAAGCACAGAAAGCAAGAACAAATAGAGGGTAGGAGTCAGAGGGCTTTCTCAAAAGTCTCTCAAATAGCAGTTTCAGCCTTGAGCGTCCCGCCCTGTCTTAGCGTTAGGATCACAAAAGCCCACCAGTGTTCTGGCCACATGTCAACTACCAGGGCAGTTATTTGGAAAATAATGCTGGTCCCTGTCCTATTTCAAATTGGGCGGACAACCAGAGATTAGAACTATACCAAAATAACTGTTTTGGGGATGGGGAGATAGCTCAGAGGCATAAGCACCTACCTGGCAAGCACAAGGTTCCAAGTTCCATCTTAAGCTGTGCATGATGGAACCCCAGGGAACAACAACCCATCCCCAGATCCCTGGACACACCATGCCAGCCAGGGTTTGGGCCCCAGCCCGGCCCAGGGTGTGGTGGTGCACTCCTGAAATCCCAGCACTCGGGAGGTTGAGACAGGAGGAACTCTGTGAGTTCCAGAACAGCCTGGGGGCTACAAGAGTGAGCACAGGACCAGCCTAAAGTGCATAGCAAGGCCCTGAAAATTCTCATTTTCAGACAAACAATAAGGGGAAAAATTTAACCTGTCCCCTTTTAAGGTGTTTTGGCTACCAGTTAAATTGGCACACAGCCCAACAAGAGAAAAGCATGCCAATATATTTAAAACAAGTTTTATGTAGGGCAAGAGTACTAGAGTTCAGACCTAGAGTGTCCCAAGACTCATGTGCTAGAGGGTGACTGGGTTGTGGACTGCCGTGGCTGACTTGCTGTTAGCATTGGGGCCTGTTTGCAGAGGAATCCTGGAGGTAAGCTGGGAAGGGTACAGCCCCTCTCTGCCTACTCCCTTCTTCCTCTCTTCCCAACTGCCTGCTGGACTGCTGCAGGTCAGAGCCTCTCTCTAGGACACGCCCCCACCTTGCACTTGAGCCAGCCAGCCAGGGACTCTCAAAACCGAGAACCAAAATAAACCTGTCCTCCCTTAGGTTGTGAGGGTCAGACGTCGTGTATGAGCAAGGAGGAGAGTGACCACGAAAAAGCAATCACGCATGAAATGACCAGCAGAGCAGAGTTGCACCCTTGTGTTTTGATAGGAACTGGGGCTTGGGCTGTTAAACTGGGTAAGCTGAGTAATGGTGGAGATTTTACTGAGGTCCATTTGTACAGATTTCCTTCAGACTCAGTTTCCTATGCTTGCTGATAAGAAGTGTCCTTTCCTTCGGGTAGAGGGAGGACACCTTTCACATAGGAATTTCACCTTCTTTTAAAAAAAAAAAAAAAGACGCTCAGAATGTTTTTCTTCCACCCACTGTTTTTCAAGTGTCTTTAACTTAGTGGAGTCAACATTCCAGAGCAGCATATTTTAGGGTGACATTGAAAACTCCTTCAAAAGCAAGCAGAGGGTTTAAACATCTTGCTCAAGGCTACACAGTGAGTCAGTGGTTTTGGACCCCAGTAGCCTGGTTCCAGCACCTGTGCTCAGGACCATGCTCTGCATACCCTGTACAAGGAAGGCTCCTTGTACCAGAGGCATTGAAATGGTCCACTGAGGGTTTCACACATGAATGAAAAAATATACCCTAGACATCATTACACAATTTCAAAGCAGTCATAAAGAACAGATTCTAACAGTTTGCATAAGAGAAAAAATATATCACTATGAAATGAGTAAGAATCAAATTGAAGTCAAGCAGCACTGATTCAAGTTCACAACAAAGTTAATGTCTTCAGAGTTCACAGGAGACCTATTTTAACCTGGGGAAGGATTTACTTGTGTGGATACTAGAACTTCTTTCTTCAAGTGGCACCCAGTGTTAACCCCTCCTGAGAAAGAAATGTCCTTGCATACTCTTAGGCCCTTCAGCTCCTAAACTTCACGTGATTATTGTGAGTGCTAGGTAGTGATGCTCAGCTTTTAGCATCAATCTGAAATACAGTATGGAAAGTTTAAAGATGGTTATACAGCAGAATGGATGTTAACAGCCTTATAAGTAAATATTAGTTGATAGAAGATGGGAAGTACATGAGGAAAGGGGTGCTAATAATATTTATGGTGCGGGTAATGAAGAAATGCTCCCAGTGTAGTTAAAACAAGTTTAAAGCTCACCGTAACCAGTGTAAGAACCAGACTCTCTCACCCCAGCCTCTCCATGAGCTTCAAGGTTACGTCACCAGTCACCTGCTTACCATCTCTCTTAGACAGTTTTTTCAGTTGCACAAGACTAGAACTGAAGCTTTATTTTCTCCATGCAAACCTACACTCCCACCAGAATTTCCACCCTCAAGGAGTGCCTTTTCCATTTCCCTTTGGTGCTTCTATAATGTAGAAATCGTTCTAAAACTCCATTTCCTTCTTCCTCTACTTTCAGTCCATCAGCAAATCTTGACGTGAACATCTCCACAATATATCTGAATCAGTTCACGTTCTTCACTGAAGGTAGTGCAGCCACTGTTTTGTTTGTGGTGCTGAGAATTAAACCCTCCCGGTGCTGGCCAAGTGCCCTATGACTGAGCTGCCCTCTACTCCAGAAGAAACTTTTTACAACAGCAGTGATATCCTGTCCTTTCCTCCGTAGGTCCTCCAGTTATTTCTCACTGTGCATAGAATAAGTTTCAATTTTTTTTCATTTATTTATTTTTTATTTTTTTTGCAGAACTGGGGAATGATGAAATTCTATATTGTGATCTGCAAGGCCCCATTCAGTCTTCCATATTTACTTATCTTATTTTCTATTGTTCATAATATGGAGATTTAGAGATAGGGATTTGGAGATAATTCAGACCAAAGAGGCAAAGAAATGCTCTGAAAGTTGGGCCTGTTTACAAAACAACTTATGTCAGGTGCATGTTATTACAGCTTTGTAATTTAATTAAAATATTCTTATAAATTAAAATCTTAGTATGAAGAGAATATAATTGTTTCTATAAAGTATTCAAAGTTGGATGCTTGGGGCTGGGGAGATGGCTCAGTTGAATAATTGCTTCCCTGGCAAGCACAAGGGCCCTGAGTTCAATCCCTGGTTCCGCAAAAAAAAAAAAAAAAAAAAAAA